AACAATGAAGTTTCTTTCCTGAAGTAATTCAATTTTCATAATCACTAAAAAAAAAAAGAAAAATGACGCTGCCATTTATGTTGTTTGAATCTGTTACTTAATTATATTAAGGCAGTCTATCTACCAGTCTAAAGATTCTTCCTTGGTTATGTTTTGTTTGGTTTATTTGATTATGGTAAATCACTCAAGGGCCATCTGTCCCTAAGGAAAGGGATGTCTTCGTGGTTGGTTTGGTTTACTTTAATTATGGCAAAGCACACTAGGGCTATCTGCCTAAGGGAAGGGATGGGATGTCTTCGTGGAGGACTTCCTAAAGGAAACTGCCTCGTATACACGTTATTTAAGGGGGAAACACCCATGCAAATAACCCGTTGGCCGGGTTTAAGTCCAGAACTTTCAAAAAAAAATAACATTAATTTATACAATAACTTTTAATTTAAACAATAACTTATATATTATAATTTATATAATAACTTTTTAATTATCATGATTTCAATTTCTCAGAAACTTTTGCAGCCGAAGTTCTAATCTAATGAATATTCAGTAAACTCTTAAGAATTTATTGCTGGTTACTATTAGTTCATACCTAAAATTGGCTTTACCGTGACTACTTTGTAGTCAGAAAAAAAATTAAGAGGATATTTTGATAATTATACGAAATTTCTCTCGGTAGCGGGTGAATAGTTGGCAAAGAACGATTTGATCACGGTAAAGCACAAGATGTTATCTACCTTATAAGGGATGCCTTCAGGGAAAATTTTCTGAGGGAAGCGTATATTTACGTTACACAGAAACACCATGCAAACAGCGTCGGGAACCGCGCCTATTAGCTGCCGAGCAGTAAAACCATTCAACACTTGTACTTTGACCTGGGTTCATTTATCGGATAACGGGTTGTCCGCATGGTTGGTTTTTCATGTTTCTCCCCAGGAAACATGAACCAGTTTTTTAAGAAGGCTTCCACGAAGGCATCTCATTTTCTTTGGCACATAGCCTTCGCAGGCGTTGCAGTAATTCAAATAATCCACAATACTTCGAGGGGAAGCGAAGCCAAGAGGAACTACCAGTGTTAAACACTGCTATGTATTTGGCCACTCATGAACTTCTAGTTATAAATTAGAATGCGTTAAAATTTGGGAAGAAAGGGGTGCGAAAAAAATCCTACATGCAATTTACAGAAAGTTCTTTCATCAAGTTTTCAGAAATTTGTTGACGCAATGAAGGATTTATGCACTGCTAATCAGCTAAATCATCCTAAACCATTAGCCATCAGGTCATCAACTGAAATTTGCGAAGAGCTGGATCTGCATTTTATATGATATTTATTACTAGGCTTAACAGTCAAAATTACGATTTAAATTCATATTAGAAGCTATGAACTCTTACTTTGAGATTTTGTTTTGTTAAATCTTATTTCACGTGGAGGAGCTCTTTTTTTTTTTTCCATTTGTATTATTCATAGTAGTAAAACTGTTGTTAAAAAGAAAAATATAATATAAAGAGAAGTATTTTCCTATGACCAGCGTTAAGTGATAAATGAAAAAAAAAAAAAAACTTTTATGAGACCAGGGCGAAATGTATTAACAGGTATCGTAATCTTACCCCTAAATATAACCTTGCATTTACTTTCCCGAAAATAAAATATCTGTTGCGTAAAGTAGGGCGTTTATTTTATTTACGGTATTTGATGTACTCTGTAATCCCTGGCGAGACGGTCAGAAAACGTTTTTAAAAGTATGCCTCTGTTATTTAAATCTCGGTAAGCTGAGATTCTGCTGTAACGTATAGTACATTATTTGCAAGGAAAGTTTTCCATTTCCGGATGGATAAAGTCGCTTAACACACGCAGTTCGGGAACGGGCTGGCTGCATGGCCGTTTTCATGGCTTTCACAATGCGTAAATCGTATACGAGACAGTGTTTCCTCAGTCCAAGGACATACCTCCTCTTTTAAGCAGATAACCCTCGAGTGCTTTGCCATATAATGTAATCAAATAAACCAAACCAAATCTTGTCCAGATGTTATTGTCCCCTGGAAAATGAGTTTGCTGCTGCAATATTTTCGTTATTTTCTTTCACATTACGTAAGAATGAGATAGTCTTCTTTGGAAAAGCCTCCACAAAAACCATTTCTGAAGCAGACTGGCTTTTGCTTGCTGTAATTAATTCCTTGGTTTAAGATGCTGTATGTTTTGCGCTTCTCTTCCCAATAGAGAATAATTTGAATATGACGCATGGATTTATTGTACAGCAGATAAAAAAAATTAATTTTGTTGCTTAAATAGCTGACTCTTCGTTACATAAAAGATACTGCTATATAAACGTCTGGTTCAATGATTTTTTTTCATTATATTCTTTACACGTTAGATAATTATCTGTATCCCGACTGATGTTCTAAGAATGAATAAGCATTTCTTAAAGAAAAGACAAAATTTTTTTATTTAGGAATTCAGCTTGCATTTGGAAATATGCTACAGTTAATTCTTTAGTTTAAGATGCTATATGTTTTATCACTTCTCTTCACACGATAGTGAATAAACTGCAATAGACGCATGGTTTTATTATGCAACAGATAAACGAATTTTTCTGCATAAATAGCTGACGTTTCGATGTGTAAAAAAAAAAAATATCTGATTCAACGTTATGCTTTTATGCATTTTATTCTTCACACTTCAGATAGTTATCTGTGCCCAGACTGACGTTCTGAAAATGAGTAAGGCTTTCTTGAAGGAAGAAAGTACTGTAGACAGTTATTATAAAATTATGAACTGAGCTTGTATCCAACGATGAACAGCACCACAAAAATATCAATATATTCTGTTTATCCAGTACATCACAAAAAGACTAGTTTTCTGTTTTTTTTTAAAGTATAAGAAAGAAGCTTGGTTTAAGTAAGTATAACGCAATCTTCAATGTGAAAGTACAAATTTATAAAAATAAGCGTGCCAGTAGAAGCTTTATTTATAGTAATGTCGATTTTAAAAACAAACAGTGGTATGCTTGCTGTGAGTATGCTTAACTCATGAAGTACATCGCATTTCCGAATTTATTAACGTTGCACGTTTTAATTCAGTGATATTATGTTTTGTAATAAAAATTGGACTGAATCGAATTATTAAATTATGGGAAAGCACAACAGGTCTGTGTCTATGAGGCAGTAGAGATTCGTAGAGATCTATCTATGGGAAATTACTCATATTTGTGATGCAGGGAAAAAAGGACTGAAGAAACCTCACGCAGATTGCCTTTTGTTCTGCTCTAAAACATCTTGGTGAGAATTACTAGCGATTCGTGGCTTTAGCCGCTCATCGGCTAATAAAAATGGTTAAATGATTGTTTTCAGAACTACGTTAAAACAGATTCCATACAGTATTGAATTATGAGTAGTATTTTACCTCTTGACAGTTTTACTTCATCAGAGTGTATGCTTATTTCAAGAGCTAATTAAAATAGTTAAGAAATACTTTTCTATAACAAGGCCTACCAGCGACCGAGTGGTAAAGTCGCTGAACACTATTAGTTTGAACTGGGTTCGAGTCCATGTGAACGTACTAGCTGCATGGATGTTTTCGTGGTTTTCCCCATGTGTAAAGTGTATACGAGCCAGTTTCTCTAGAAAGTCCTCCACGAAGGCGTCTCTCCTCTTAAGCAGATAGCTCTCGAGTGCTTTGATATAATCGCATAAACCAAACTAACCTTCTTATAACAGACCTAAGAGAAGGATACCAATTTGGGCCTTGAGTTTCGGAAAATTCAAACATGGATTTAAATTTATTTTATAGAAAACTACTGCTTATTTCACAGATGCTCTAAAACAGATCCTTCTCCTTTGAAGAAAATAAAATGCGGTGCTCCTTAGTAAACAGAGCCATAATTATTATCATTTATCATTTTTGAAGTTATATCTTACATTAAAATACGGAAATTAGCTAAACATCAGAAAATTTTTTCGTGTGTCAGAGAGATTTGTGTTTTTGTTTTATGAAATACATGTAAGATTTATCGAAAATTAATGCCCATATTAGATTCATTTTTTTCACTTTCAAAGTTTGTAAGCTTTTTTATATTTATGAACGTGCCTCCTTTATTACATAATTACGGAAGCAGTTACTTTACATTTTATACATAATATTTTTTATAAAACTCACTAAAATGATATGCTAGATAGCACAAAGAAAAATTAGCATAAAATACAAAATGTCTAATTTCTCATAATTTAAAATTTAGAGTTTTAAGTCAGAGACTGTAACCTAAGCACTGCAGTTATGTCTAAATACAAAAGTTATCAGCATTTATTATGCTTTTGTGAGTTAGTTTCGTTAGATTTATTGTTATGTTAGTTTAACTGAATTGAGAAAATTACACCGAATGAATTTTGAATCAATATATACTGCTACGACTTGCAATAAATTCGGATCAATCAATCATTAGCATTGAAGCGGTCATCCTGTCATCATATAAGTTGCCATATGTTACATTATGGTGCTTAATTTTGCTCTCTATTTCATTACTTTGAGAATTTCTCGACGAACTCACGTGGAAAAACTAAATTAGAAATGCATATACTTTCTCTTAATTTACTTTTACACTTAACGGAAAATCAGTTCTTTTAAATGGAAATAATTTTATTTAGACTGCTTCTTGTTAATTTTATCTGTTCCCTTTCTAAACTAAAAAATTCGAAAGATCTCCAAAAACAGGAAGGGAAAAAAAGTATCTTAAATTACTAAACTAATTCAAATCAATATTAAATTCAAACGATTAGCAAGAAAATCGATTTTTTAACACTAGGCCTAAGGAAATAATATCTAACACTTAACAGAAACAATTCGGATCATTAAAATGTTAGCAAAGGAAACGAAGGTCTCTTCAGTTTCCTTCGGAAGAAGGAAGAGTACGAGAGTTTAAATATAGACTGGGGTCGTCAGCAAAGACTTCCGTTGTCTATATAAATCTCCCATACAACTATTTTGGATGTGAGGGAGCAAGAGATGCACTTACCTAAGCACGTGCCGAAAGATCCGAGGAGCACAGCGAACCGTAAACCTCTCTTTTCCAGGATCCAGTTCGCGGGAAAGATGAGCGGAATGTAGGATGCCATATAAATCATGGAGGTCCAATTGATGGCAATTTCTTGAACACCATAATATGTGCTAACAATGTTCGTTATAATAGCGTATTCTATCCATTGAAAAGCATTTGACATAGAGTACATCACAAACAAGAACAGCATCAAAAACCGGGATCGATAGACTTGGGTGTCGCCCTCCATTTTGGTTGCCATGGCGCCAGCTGCCTGAAAACAAGAATGAGAACGGGATAAGTTTGCGTCACCAGAATTTTAGAAGGTCACGTTAACTCCCTCTGTAGCAGTGACACTCGAACTGAACTGAGAAATTCAGGCTTTCGGGCTGTCGTTTCCTCAAAAATATCACTCAAAAGAAAGTTTAAGAAAGTTCAAAGTTCAAAAGAAAAGGCAAGATTTCAAAAGCTTTTGAATTACCTTTGCACGTAGAAGGAAGACAAGATTTAAAAAAAAGAGAGAGAGATGAGGAAGATGGAGGAAAAATAAATAAATAATAAATAAAATTTTTAAAAAAAAACCTAACAGAAGAAAGGTTTTTAGGAAAATAAATAGCAACGACAGCAAAAATAATAGGTATCGGAGAAAAGAAAAAGTAAAAGGGGTCTATAAAACTGGGGAAACCAAAGCAGCGCAAAGGCGAAGGAAATGTAGTTAGTTACAGAATGATGTGGTTTAAAACAGAAACTGATAAAATGTAAAAATAGAACCAGTATATAAATAGGAGTTAAACCAGAGCTTATTACAGCACAACGACGGGGAGGGGACGTATGAGAAATGGGAAAGAGTAACAAGATTAACAGACAAAACTACAGGTAAAGCGAAGCAGATCTCATGTTTTTATACACGCAGATACTTATCTGCTTATATTCCGAATGACAAAACAAAAAGGAACTAGACAGGAATAGCATCAAAGTAGAATACAGAGAGTACTGAAAGTAAAAACGGAAATCATGGCTATTTAAAATATACTCAATTGGCATTTAAGATTCAATCTAAAAACAGTAGGGACTAATATTCCTTGTTATTCAGCACTTTTACGTGTTATGTATGTCACTATTACTTATTATTCAATCACGTTTAAGCGTTGTTAATTAAGTACATTCCATCAGCACTTTTTAAACTGTCTCAGCTCACTGCGAGAAGGGCCGTAACGCGTGAAAAGCCGGAACAATTGAGATACCGTGAATTGAATGGCAAGAAGGCAAACTTCACTCAGTAATCACATTTCAGAAGTCACGAACATTTTTAAACCTCGAAATTAACTGACAGCGGCATCGCGTCTTCAAGTACGAAGACTTATTTGTCATCTCATCATGTTAAAATGAAATTTCTTTCAGGAAATCGAGTTTCAGAATTCACTCCATTACTTTATCTTACTATTTACTTTATCTTAGTACTTACTTTTATCTTAGTATTAAGTTTAATTTTTTCCTTCGTAAGGGGAAAGACTGAAAGCATAATTCTGCATATCATATCCAATCGTTTAAACACTCTCAAATGAAAACTTAAGTCTTACGAGCGTACACACCAAACTCGAGAAATAAAGAGTTATTTGCTTCAGACAAATAACAAGTACATTAATTTATTGAATTGTTGGAGGTATCTATCGTTAAAAATCTTAGATTGTATTATTATATCTAGTCTTTTATGAAATATCTTCCTATAACGATTAGTGAGTGAGGTACTGAATTGAATCAGAAACCTTTTTTTCTTTCTTCCTTCGGATTTTACAAGCTTAAGTGTTAAGAACTTAAGATGAACTTTAAAAATGTTTTAACGCCACACAACAATTGTTTTTAACATGCTTTGCGCGCAAAATTTGTCTAATATTACACAAAAGTGCTAATTTCGTTTTTTTTTTAAACAGCAAGAAGTAGTTGCGATTAATTAAGTAACTGTGATTAACAATTAATTTTTTAACAGCGAGAAGTAGCTATAGTTTTCAATGAAATGATGAAAAATATTTTCATTCGGAGAAACACATTTCCTATAAACACATTGTATAAATTAGCATTTTGTAAGTCTTAACTTTATAGCACTTAACTGACACATATCTCAAAATATACCACGCTTTTAAAATTCTAATGTGAAATATATACATATCAGAATATGACAGATAAACAAATGGTTATAGAATTTCCTCACTTGTATACATCGTTTATTGTACAAAATAAATCAGAGTCAAATACAATTACGCTCAGTGACAGAGTCGTATTATATATTTCGCTATTTAATTTCAATCTTTATACCTCGCGGGAAAGCGTTAATATTTACAGCTGGTGGTAAAAGAACTTACCAGGTTGCCTATGGATCCAGACATGATCAGCAAATACAACTCCAATCAATGGATCTACTTAAAAAAATAATAATAAAAAAATTTTTCGTGTTCCACTTCCCGTTTAAATAAGCGATCAATGACGTCACAGTTTCATCCCGTACATCCTTGTCGGAGCCCTTCACAAAATTATTGTTGTAGAACCGAGCTGAAAACAAGAAAACTAAAACAATGGCCCTAACAGAAACGAGATGACCTTATGTAGCTTCACGAAAGTATCACTCGTTATGTAATAGCGTGGAAGAGGAGGGGAACGATATTTTAATCAGACAAAGAAGTGCTAAATTTCGTAAAGTTACTTTTTTTACGCGAATAAAATTTAAGGAAGGTTCTAGTTGGTAGAATAAACTATTCGACTAAAGAATCGTTGTGTAAGAAAGATTATGAATAAGCTGTCAGATTGGGTGATAACGTATCGTGCTAGTAGAAGTTACGCAGTATTTCACCGAATGGTTTTGTTTCATTCGAAAGACATTTCGTTTGTTTGAGAAACATTAAATTATCTGACAGATTAGTTTCCTCGGATTATCACCCGTTCCACAAAGTCAGTCATAAAGTCATTTACTGTCTGACTTTGTGGAAGAGATTCACTTGTTTAATTATTTCAACGCAAAATCAAGGAAAAATATTTAGACGCAAGAGAAATTATTAATTAGGCTGGGATTCTAGAGCCTCAGCTGAACTGAGAAAAATTACAAATATCTGTACTAGCATTTGTGTTTTGGTCCCGTAAAGTATGCTGCTAAAATTTAAATCTCTCCATTATAAGAAATGTTCGGAATGAGGATCAAAAAATAATTTTCTCAGAGAACTTGACATAAGAACCTGTTTCCTTCGGAAAGGGGGCCAACCAGCGGCCGAGCGGTAAAGTCGCTGAACACTGGTAGTTCGGTCCAAGGTCGAGGTTCTAGCTGCATGGGCGTTTTTGTGGTTTTCCCCATGTGTAATGTGTATACGAGCCAGTTTCCCTTAGAAAGTCCTTCACGAAGGCATCCCTTCCCTTAGGCAGATAGCCCTAGTGTGCTTTGCCATAATTTAACCAAACCTTCGGAAGGAAATCATAGGGAAAACTGACCCTTATGATTTCCTTCAGAATAACACCCCCTCCTCTGACATAGCCTGTAGCTACGTTACAGGAAGGATGGTCATTACTCCTGTTTTCATTTTCTTGCTTTGTTATTCATGAATAATTTGTTCTGCCTGAAACCAATAATTTTTTTTTTTCTCACAAGAACCGTTATTTGATGACTTATTAATTACTTCTGTTACTATTTTAGAACAATTGCAAAAGCAATTCCGGCTTATGAAAGAAGATGTTGCATGTTTAGTCCTGAGCTTGTTAATTTTTTTTTTTTTTTAATTTTTACTGTAGCTTATAAAGAGAATAAAACGCATTTAAACAAAAGTATTAAGTCCTGCTTTAACTGTGGTTCATCAGATTCGCTAAAACTAGTAGTTCGACAGATCCCGACAAAAGTGCTGGCAGCATGGGCGTTTTCGTTGTTTTCACAATGTATAACAAGGTTGGTTCATTTTATTACGGCAAAGCTTCGAGGGCTATCTGCCTAAGGGGAGGGATGCCTTTGTGGAGGACTTGCTAAGGGAAACTGGCTTGTATACACGTTACACATGTGGAAAACCACAAAAACGCCTATGTAGCCAGCCTGTTCGCGGAATTCGAACTTCGGACTGAGTGACCAGCGTTCAGCGACTTAACCGCTCGGCCGCTGATGAAATAATGTATAACGAGGATACGAGTCAGTTTCCCACAAAAGGTTCTCCAAGAACGTAATCCTTCCCTTAGAAAGATAGCCCTCGAGAACTTTGTCATTACCAAATAAATCAAAACCTGCACAACTGTACATTTACATGAAAAAAAAGATGCATTTTTAATTCAGTAAAGTTAATTCACTTTTTTCTTATTAAACACACTTTTGATCTCTCTGTATCTATTTTATTTCTGACTATTGAACATAATTTCCTGATTAATTTCAACGGTCAAAAAAAAATAAATTCAAAATTAATTGAAAATCATCAAACTTCACAGCGCACTTCAGGTTCAGGATACTTATATTTAATTCCGGCCTGTTAGTAAAAACTGTCAAGGAAAGTCGCGGAATGGTACAAAACTAAATTTAATAGCTCTATCTTTTTTTAGTAGTTCAAAGAAAATGCATTTTAATGTGCTCATTTGGAGACAATAAGCAATTGTTTCGCTCCGAGATCCTTCCTCCTTTCGTCGTATCAGTAAATGGCATCATTTACATGAGCACCGAAAACAAAGTCTGAAGAGTTTGTTCTAAAAATATGCTCAATATACGTCAATTTCTACCCATACTGTGGCTTTCGCAGAAATTTAAAGTGATTATTATTTGCCCTTCGAAAGCTAGCTGTGCAGGAGAGATGTTTTACAAAGATAAATGATAACTGCTGAGCAACTTCCAAAAACTTACCACTTGTTCTTCCTTAATATAGAAAATGCCAGTGCCTGGAACATGCTGATTACTCTTTTGAGTGCCTTGCATAATCTTGACTTCAACATTCGCACAAACGTTAAAAGTCGCACCAACGACTCTTTGTTCCGTTTTCCGCTAGGTCTTCAAAAGCGACTATGGAAATACCAAGAAATCGATTTTGGGTTTTAAGGAGAATAAAGGAAATGAATCATATCAAGTGGAGTGAAGTTCTGCGACAGGCTTGACAAGATATTGGAGGGGGGGAGAATGTCAAATACGTTAGCTCGAAAAATCTAGCATCTTTCCAGACAGCTGGCTTGGCAGAATCACAAAGAATTTGCCGAGGTGCAAATAAAATATTTCAGATTCGATATAAACTAAATGAAAGTCACATATACGTGGCTTAAAATTTGATTGTTTAAAATAAATGTATAGACTATAACCATTCATGAAATTTACAAATATTTATGAATAAAAGGTTCTCTTGAAGCTTTTGGTATCAAACAGCATTTTATTAAAAATATTTGTAAACTTTATTAGTGAATATACTCTATGCAATCATTTGAAATTATTTTAAAATAGGCATGTACTACAAGCGAACATTAAGAAACATTTAGAAAAATTCATTACAAGGTAGATTTACCTCAAGTTAAGTTTCTAATTACTTCTGGCTATTATTCGATAGATTTTGTGATTATCTAGCAACTCTCACTTTTATCCCAATATCTGGTTACTGGCCCACCAGTAGCTGAACTGTTAAGACCACCGAATACTTGTAGTTTAACTCTGGCTCGATCGCAGGCGAAAGGGTTGGCTGCAAATTTGATTTTACATATGTGTAATGCGAGTCAGTAAATCAGTTTCCCTCATATACAGCGGCTCAAACAATTGAGAATACGCCTTACTTTTACTTAATAAATCGAACTTCGATAACACACTACCAAAAAGCGGAAACATATTTTTATTTTTACACATAACAATTGATTTAATTTAAAGTAAAAATAAAGAACAATCAACGAAAAAATCCTAAAATGAAAATAGAAAATTATAAATATAAACCAATGAAAAATATGTTTAACTACCACTACATTTTTCCTACGTGGTTTCTGTTTTAATCTAACGTTGCGTAATCTTATTTGAAACCTTTTTACTTTTGTGATGAAGTTTGTTATATGAACGTAAGGCCTCACTTTTAGATTGAAAATGGTTCCTCGGAAAGAAACCAGAATTCATGTAAGGAAATTCGTACTCAGATTATATAAAAAAGGAAAATCTTATTGTGAAATAGTTAAAACTGTTGGTAGAAGTCACACATGTGTCCAGAAAATCATTGGAAAGTTTTAAAGTGATGGATTGATTGAAAATAAAAGGGGAAGAGGAAGGAAAGGTATTCTGAGTGATGTCTCCAAAAGAAAAATTTTGAAAGATATCAAAATTGATCCTAAAGTAAGTGCGGTCGAACTTGCTCAGAAACTTCTCAAATCATTGGCAGAAGTTTATGAAACTATGCGAAATGTAATTAGACAAGCTGACTATAAAAGTACAGTTGCTAGAAGGAAACCATTCATCAGCTTGCAAAATCAGAAAGCGTTTGGAGTTTGCAAAAACTCATCAAGTGAAGACGAATAACTTTTAGAAGAAAGTTATATTCACTGATGAAAGTAATTCAACATTTTCGGCAGTGACTGCCGTCGTATCGCACGGAGAAAGCCCAACACCGCTTTGAATCCAACACATTTACGTCCTACAAGTTAAACACGAGAGTAGCTCCGTCATGGTTTGGGGTTGTATGGCTTCAAATTGGGTTAGAAAATTTAGTTTTTATACGTGGCATTATGAATCATATAGTTTTCTTTTATATACTCCACAGTAATCTATAAAGAAAGTGCTAAAAAGTTAGATTTTGATGGAAATTTCATATTCCAGCACTACAGTGACCCCAAACACACGGCACACAACGTCAAAATGTGTCTTTTTCATTGTAAATAGCAGTTACACACCACCATAATCCCCTAAACATCAATATAAGATAAAATCTGTGGGCCACACTCGAAACAGCTGTCCAAAAAACACAAAATTGAAAACAAAGCTCATTTAAAACAAGTGTTGATAGAAGAATGGGATAAAATATCTTCCCATAGGACTAAAACGTTGGTCGAATCGGTACCACGACGTTTGGAAGAGATCATAAAAGCCAAAGTACATGCAAAAAAATATTAACACTTTCTTTGTAGGTGAAATATCACAAAAATTTTGTTGGTGTATTCTTAATTTTATGAGGCAAAAATCTCCATATGTTTATCTAAAATGCTTCTGAATTTTTGGTTGATAATTCTTTATTTTTGCTTTAAATTACACCATTTGGTATGCGTTAAAAACGTGTTTTTCCTCTTAGTAATGTGTTATTAATATTGAAATTTAGATTTATCAAGTAAAAGTAAGGTGTATTCTCAATTGTTTCAGCCACTGTACTCTTAAGAAGGCATCCATTACCTTAAGCAGACTGCTCTTATGTGCTGTGCCATATTCAAATAACCTAACCTATCTCGTTACTAAAAATATTTAACCTTAATTTACTTATATTATAACAATGTCTATTGCACTGCCAGTGTTGAGCCCGTTTTCTGATAATTTTAAATTAATTCATCATGTAATACTAAGTAAAAGATCTCTGAGCAACGATCTAATGGTTAAAACCGCGACCAAATGGCTTAGTTATACAAATGGTTATACGAACTTCTAAATTGTATCTGCCCATCCATGGCCGAGCGGATAAAACCGCTGAGTAATAATAATTAAATCCAGGTTCAGATCTCGATGATCGCGCTGTTTGCCTGCGCGTTTTCGAGGCTTTCTCCCTGTGTGACGTGAATATGAGCCAGTTTCCATTAGAGAGGCCTCCATGAAAGCCATCAATTTCTACCAGGCAGACGACTCTAGCGCGCTTTGCGTTTATCTAATGAATCCAAATTTAAAATATTTCTTATGCTTTAATGCATATGTAGCCTGGTTTCTTAAATATTAGTGGTTGACGATGAAAGTGAATTTCCCATGTTCAACGTGTATACGAGCCAATTTCCCTTAGAAAGTCCTCCATGAAGACACCATTCGCCTTACAAATAACGGTTTCTGTTTATTTAATTACGGCAAAGAACTCGAAGGCTATCTGCCTTCAGGAAAGAACGCCTTCATGAAGGACTTTCTAAGGAAAATTGGCTCGTATACACTTTACACATGGGGAAAATTACGAAAACGCCCATGCAGTCTGTGCCCATTAAGTACGTGTCTAAAATTTGTTAAACTCTGTTAACATTACGAAAGAAAAATCACTGCAACTGAAGGTTTAAAAGAAAAACCCTCTTCTCACTGAAAGTAAATTTTAAAATTCCTGAATTAATGAATAATCAAATAGCCGCTCAAAATATTGGACACTTTTCATTAGTTCTTAGATTTGGATTATTTAGATTATGACAAAGTTCTACAGGGTTATTTGCCTAAGGAAAGGGATATCTTCGTGAAGGACTTTTGTAAGGAAAACTGGTTCGTAGTTATGTTACACATGTGGAAAACCATTTATAACCCCTGCACAGCAGCACAGATTATTTTTATAAAGATTAACATGGCTGTTCAAAAATACTTCTGGATGAATAAATAAGTAATACGTCAGTGTATTTAGAATGTATATTCATTTATACAGCACACTAAAGCATGCAATAATTATACATCTATGATATACATAACAGATTTACAGGTTATTTGACCATCGTTCAGTAATTAAATGACATATTTAGTTTCCCTTACATAGCACTGAAATAATTCAGTTAAGTAATCTGTTCACGAATATTTTGTTAAGGCGGCAGCTGAAAGTTATCCGGCCAATTGAAAGAAATGGCTAAATGAAGTTTTCATGGTTTTCTAGGTTGTAAAGTAAATACGGGCAGGGTTTTTTTAGAAAAACCTCTACGAAAGCAGAAAGTCTGTGTATGCACTTTTGTGCAGTCAAATAATCCGGTCTTAGCTATGAGTACTTTTTTATTTGATTCGGTTTGGTTTGGTTTAGCTGAATATGGCAAAGCACACTGCAGCTATCTGCCTAAGGGTAGAAATGCCTTAGTGGAAGACTTTCTAAGGGTACTGGCTGGTATACACATTACACATCGGGAAAACGGTCATGCAGCCAACCCGTCGGAGCTACCAGTGTTCAGCGATTTTACTGCTCGCCGGTTAATGATATTACAAAATAGTTGGGGATCCTAAACAGAGAGGGAGGGGGTACACTCTGCAGCAAACTAAGAAAGTAAAATAAGAATTAATCGAAACATATTTTTACACCAAACTTTTTCGGTAGGATAATATGGTGAAGAAAATTACCAGCTATTTTGGATTTGCGAGAAGCGCTTTTTATTTAACGATAAAATCCCAGCGTGGAATCCATAAAAAAGAACAAAACAATGAAGAATTGTGCTTATCTCGGGAAGCATTTTATAGTTTGATTTTCTGTAAAGCCTCCTGTTACTTTAATATTTTTTCGTGCCTTCAGTTCTTTGACAAGCGCGAAGGTGAGGTGAGTTATTTGGACAAAAAGAAAAAGCACGTTTCCTGTGAATTTCTACGTTTAATACTTCTTCCCTGTGACAGTTGTTTCACGTATTGTTTCATCTAAATCTTCTCATTTCTTTGCGTGATTCAAATCATGCGATTCTGATGTTGGATGTTTGCTGTTAGCCTTTTAAGAGTGTTGCGTAATTTCTTTGAATGTAATCCTATTGCGATTTTTTTATTTTTCAGATTCTCAAGCTATCATTTAAATAAATCAAGGGGTTAATAACTAACTTATTTTTAAAAGGGAGTTTATATTCAGCATTATTATTCGCATTTAGCTATTAAAAAATCTTAAAATTCATCCACTTGGAAAAAAGTACACATAAAGTATTAGGAAGGGGGGGAACCCCGCTGTTAACAGAAAATTTGGGAGACACTTTAATAAGCTTGCTGTCCAAATGATGTTACTGCCTTATATAATAAGCAATGCCACGATCATCTTTATACTCTAGGTTTAAGTGGTTTTGGTTACATTCAGATATCTACCAGTTTCAGGTATTTACCAGTTTTCGTGTCGCCAAAAATGAACTGCATTGT